AACTGGAATGTCAAGAGCACTCAGTAGAGCCTTGCACTAGCATCTCATTGTGTGAAACAGAAAAGTACTTATTGGCACATTTCAACACACAGGGAAAGAAAGTCTTACCCTTTTCAACAATTTCCCATCACTACAAAATGCTATAATGCTCATTAAAACCTCCATGTTTATGTTTTGAATTGACTTTAAACTAGTAAAAACGAAAGAAGCATTCTCCATAGGAGAATCAAATGAAAATATCTTAAGCTACACGTTATTTGTGAATTCCAAATTGTAGTTAACTGCTTAAGAATATTCTAGGTAAAAGAGCCATTAAATGGGCTAACATATGATCAATAGCTATGACAAGTTACTCAAAATCTTGCTGGAAACTGACAAAACAACATAAACACTTGTAAATTTACACTGAAATATTGTTTCTATAAACCTATTTCCTTTACCTCACAGCAGTACAATGAACTCAGGGTGCTATCCAGGAGAAACACCATGTGGGTCTTTCCCATGCACCTACAACTTTACTACTAGTTGCAAGGAATGTGGCTGCGCAGCAATGGGCAATGCTACGATTCAGAATAAACTCAAGCTTGTTTTCATCACCAATATATGAACTATAATTTCAAACCCCCCATCACTTTTTTCCCTAGTTCTCTTTATATTTATTTGGTGTGTTTGCAAAGATTTATCTCTTTGGATTGCTTTTTAGACATTAAAAACAAGTTTTCAAACACTGGCTTCTAAACATAAAGATTTTGACAAATAAAACAAGATTTGCAATTTTTACTTTTACTGCTATACATTCATGTGTTATCAGGTAGGAGACTTTGCAAATTTAGTCAAACCAAAGTTATTTTATTTCTTCCTGACAACTTAAAATGATTGCCCACCACAGCAAACAACTGCCAAACACTCACACTATCTGCAACCACAGTCACTGAAAGAAACAAGCCTAGCAAGGAAAAGCGGACAGAAAGGCAACTAAAGGGCTCCACTGATTAGAAAAAGAAAGAAAAGGTAATGAAGGATTAAAATTAGTACAAAATTTCCAGTTTCATTTCAAGTATATGTATTTGTGATTCCATTTTAAAAGTGTTCAGAGAAAATTGATCTCATGGACATTTTACTTACCTTTTAATCTTACTATTAACTAATTTCCCTTGTAAACATATGTATGTCCAAACGTCTTCACATTAGGATTGTAAATAAACTATTAAAAAAGCTAAGAAATGACAAAAACTTACAATACCTATACACAAAACAAGAAAATAGATTTTGATACAACTGTCAAATTAAAAGGCAACTTGCATTTTAACAAGATTAAACACTTAAGAAAAATCATGAGAGCTAACAGTTCTGATAAACACCAATGATCTCTTACAAAAATACTCCGCTCACAAAATGTTTTTGAATGAACTGGCAGTGGTAAGGATATTTTGAAACTAATTGTTGAGTCCTTTAAAAGCAGACAGGAAACTGAAGAACAGCAGTGCAAACCTCTCGAGCTGCACATTATCTCTATCTACAGCACATAAATACCCGAAGCACTGCCCTTAAATTTTAGACAATCTTTAAAAGTCAATGCCTAATATCCAAAGATCTAAGTAATAAGATCTTTAAAACATATTTAAAACAAATCATCTTAAGGATTTTCTCAAATTTCTTCAGTACTTCAGATTTTTAACTTCCTATAAAAATAAGTCATCAAGTTGACAGACTGTCTCTGCTAATTTTGCAGAACACATGCTAGCCAGGTGCTTTTAATACAGCCTTTGGGCTAGAGTTAAAAAAAATTTAACTGAGTCACTAACTTTAATCAAGCATAAATCAAGAGGGTTACATGAATATACACAGAATTCTTTGAACCATAAAGACAGGGTGTAACTATAAACTCCCATTACTCACACGGAAGAATAAAATCCAATGCTAATAAACATGACACCCTTCAGAATTTCTACCCAGAAGAACAGTAGGCCTTTCTTTACGCACATTTATATGTTGTATGACTATATTTACACTGCCTATGGAACCATCACCAAGAAACAGTAAACTACCATATCAAATCAGAATTACTAAAAATCTCTCTTAAATGCTAGCACTTCACAATTAATTGTTTTAGTATATCTCGGGTGTAATTAAGCTGCACTACTGTAGCAATACATGAGTCTTTACCAAAAAAGTTACAACCTCAAATTTTCGACCCCTAACACATTGACTGGATTGCAGTATCTGCCAATTTCAATTTTTACAAGTTTACATACCATTCAGCAAAATCAGAAGCTAACTAGGTAAAAACAGCTTAAAAAGCAGAATATAGAAATATTAAATATCCATGTAATCACCTATTCTAATATCAAAATCAAGGGCAAGAGACACTTAATTGGTTATGTTTAATTCACTGAACGCAAGATTAGATTGATGCATATCCAAACACCCTATTGCAATGCTTTTTTTAAAGGACAGTAAAAATGTTGTCATAGTAACATTATCTTTAGATATTGCTGAACACAAGACTTTCCCTGAGGTGTAAACATCAAATAACTTTACACATCAGCCCCATTAAACAGTTTATTACAACACTACATCTATTGTAATCAAAGTGGTGCTGTTTACAGACATTATCATATGAACATTTTTAACAAGAACAAACTACTATAAAAAACAAGCATTTACTTGAATTTTTTCCAATTGCTTGCACATTATAATAGCCAAATATATATAACCAGTAATAAAGTTGCAAAAGCTATTAACTTTTTAATCACACAGATTTCCTTCAAATAAAACAGTTAAGCAACATAAAAAATAAAAGTAGAGCTACTGGTTACCATTTATGCAGATTTGCTTTATTCAGATCTATTCCTGTTCAGTTTATCCATGAATCCTTACAGGTTCAGTTCAATCACAAGAAGCAAACTGCTGGACAAGCGTCACTTTTCCCTCATGAAGACTGTTTTGTCTTGGAAGGTGTTCCTCTTCCTTCAGCTGTAATGTGTCAAAATTTGTGATGTAGATTTTGCTATTCCCCAGAATACACAGAAAAATGTTGGCTTAGCTATACATACACAAGTCGTGCATCTACTCACTCTTAGGAATTCTAACACAAAATAAAAAGTAACTCAAACAGTAGCTGCTTGCATGGTGGAGAAATGCTCCAAATTTACAAATTCAAAATGAGAAATTCTCATTTCATTCTTTTTATACATTACTACCCTTGAAGTTCAGTGATTGTCATCTGAAGACCAATATTTTGTACAATATGTATGAATTTTTAAGAGAAAGAAATTACAGTAACAAAAGAAAACACAGCAGCTACTGTTTCTGTGATGATGAGAACAGCCATAAATCATCTCCTAAATATGCATACTACAAAATAAATGGGAAAATGTTTGGATTTGAATGTAACTATTTTTCATTCATCCACACAATTTATTAAACAAATGCTGAACTGAATATAAAATGCAATGAAATTTACAAATTAACCGTATTTGACAGCATACACGAAATTCCGCCAATCTGTTATAAATCAATGGTGTTCCATGGTACAAAATTTATAAATAAATACCTCAGTATGGACATTAAATATGACATCCACATACAAATCTTTAGACATAATACAAATTTGAGATGTTACTTTCATTCTATTTCACCTATATCCACTAACCAAACAGAAACTAATGGGAATCTACAATGATAAACTTCATTGAAAACTTACATAAAGAGGGAAAGGGAAACTAACAGTAAAATTGATACTATAGTTTCAGAAATATATACATATATAGATAATATATGTAAAGCAAAAAAGGACATTAATTTAAAAATTATCACTGAAATATCAAATATTTAAAATAGAAATACTAAAGAGGTAGTTTAATATTTTTCAAGCACACAAAGGTCAGTGGCATCCTGTCATAAAAATTTTAAAAGATCCTATGCTATTTGTAGTTAATGATAGTTTTGGTGACAACCATAAATTTTGTGTTCAATTATCTTTAGGAGAATCTTAAGAATATCAGTATAAAGACATATATTCATACTTCCTAATAAAAACATGAACCTTAAAAGTAAAAAGGGTCTTTCTCATCTAAATGCTTTCTATACATCTGTACTTTTCAAACAAACATTTAAGCTATTTATAGTATCACCTTTTGTCTTTCCACTTTCATGTCAGTTTGATGAGGCTTACATAGAGGAACTATTTAATAGAAAAAAACTGTGTGATGTCAACTTTGAAATATTCTATTTTACAAGTCACAATTCTAGTAGGACTAGAATTTTTCTGTTTTCTGGACTTGATACTAAGAATGAATCAAGGACTTCTTACATGCCCATGACCTATGAAACAGTACACTCCCAGCACTAGTGAATTTAAAAACAGTAAGGCATTAGAAAAAGTACAAAGCACATGTTTTAAGCTGCTAAACAGATTGCAGGGAAATTCATAATTCCTACTAAAAAAGGAATGTTATCTCCCCTAATATTTTTGTTGTATTACAAAGGATTAAGAATGGATCACTGAGAAACAAATCATTTAAAAATCACAGTGTGAGGATAGGAGAAAAAAAAAAAGGAAAGAAAATCAATTTTTTTCAAAAAACCACATGGACGGGGTGGTGGTGATGCACGTCTTTAATCCCAGCACTTGGGAGGCACAAACAGGTGGACCTCTGTGAATTCAAGGCCGGTCTGGTCTACAGAGAAAATTCCAGGACTATAAGGTAAAGAAAGGCTGTCTTGAAAAACCAAAGGGGGAAAAGGGACAAGGGGGGCTAGAGATATGGCTCAGTGATTAAGAGAACTGACTGCATTTCCAGTTTTCCCAGCAGCCACAGAGAGGCTCACAACTATCTACAATGAGATCTGGTGCCTTCTTCTGGCCTTCAGGCACAGATGCAGGCAGAACACTGTAGACAACATTATGGATTTAAAAAAAAAAAAAAAACACAGGGTACATATTACCATGACCCTAGTTTACTATTTTTATACAGGAAATCTTATTTGGGATGTCACAATACACATCTTTATGCAGGACTAATGAACTCATCTTTTGCTACATATCTTTATGTAAGTCTTCACTAATTAATAAATCTTAAAATTTTACCATACAGACATAAAATTTAGGGAATATTCTAGAAACCTTTATTTCTACTTTCTAAACACTTTACATAAACACAAATATTACAATCTCAAACGGAAGAAAACTCTGAAGGCAATACAACCCATTTCCAATAACTCAACTCCATATTATAATCTCAAAGTCTATTTTAAATAGACATCTGCATAAACAAAGATATCAAAAAGCTTAAAAGTGACAAATACATTCAATACCCATATATTCAAAATAGCATTTAATCAATTCTGTACTGTCAAAGTCACACAATTACTTGCTCTAGCTGTCAATTATAAAAGGGAACCTATGTAAACAGCTGTTAAATGAACCAAGACAGTGAAACTACAGCTTCAAAATCTGCAAGCTAAAGAAGCAGTATAATTTTAATACAGAGCGAAATACCTATATTTCGGTATGACATCAAACTATTATTAACAACTCAAATTGAGTGTTCATCACCTATATGCAAACTTGGCATTATTTGTATTTTAAAATTCAAGAAAAAATTCATCTTTTAAAGTAAAGCATTTGACTATTTTATAGGATTCTCCCTATATACTGCATGTTTGTATTTATTTCTGAAACAGAATCTTAGTATAGAGGCCTGGCAAGCCTGAAACTCCACATGTAAACCAGGCTGGCCTGGAGCTCACAGTATGTTCCTGCAGTCTCTAGCTGTTGGTTGAGGTCAAGGTGTGCAATACCACACCCAGCTCTTACAGGTTTTCAAATTAATGTGCTGAATCAAAAAGGATTCTCACATAATTTTAGAAATTCAATGCCTTTAAATAAATAAAATTAACCTTCTATATCCAAAAGTTTCTCCTGAGGAGAATGAGGACTGAGGACGAAGTAGGCAACAGAAGCATCTAAACTTACATTAATTCCTAAGTGTCTTCTTATATGGACTAGAACACAGTACATAAAAAGCAATGCTGTTTATTGCTGGTTCTCACAAAAAGTTTCTAGCTACCAAGAGTTTATGTTATCCTGTTTTTGTCTAAACATCATACTTACCCCTTCAACTAAAGCATTTATTACTCTACAAAATACACAATTAGGTGTTCTATGCAACTGACTCCATGGTAGAAATAAACTCCATCACAAAAAAGAAAAAGAAATAGACTTTGTATCAAAAAGAATCACCCTTTGTTACTTACAATTCACCTACATCAAGAGGTAGATAGAACTTTCTAACCACAGAAAGCAAGAACATTAATTTGGATTAACATGAATGACACTCTTCTCTTACTGGTTAGTAAGCTTCCTTTAAACAATGCTAACTGAATATTCATTAAAAAAATAAAGATACTTATTCAAAACAATCCAATATACAAACTAAACAATGGTAGGAAATTTCACACTGAGATGAAGGTGAGAAGAGCAAGGTGACTCACATTGGCATTCAAATTTTTTAAGACAGAAAAACATCAATTATTTATAAACAAAACTATATTCTTAAACCACAGTGAGCAAAAATACATCCAAGGGATCACTTCCTACCCTTTCTTGTCACTTCAATTAAGACACTGTATAATCAGACAGATTTTTCAAATACTAAAAATATCAGAAATAAGAGGAGAAATGAGAACCAGCACAGCAAGATAAAGCACAGCAATTCAGACAGATGGACACAAAGCTGGGAAGGAATACTAGGCAGTAACAAATGACCTAGGAGTTGTAGAAATAATTAAGATCTTGTTAACAGTCAGTTATTGCTCATCAAGCAATGAAAAGAATTTTCACAAAAGCCTCAACATAACACTCCTAAGGAGATGAAACATCTTAATTTGGGCTTTCCCTCCAAATTAACACAAAGCTATAGTAACCTAAGTAAGTAATACAAAGTATTCTAAAGTAATTAATTAAATTCAAGTTCATGACATTCACGTCAGAAGTAATCACATGGCCACACTCTTACAATTACTAAACCCAGACTCCAAACACAGTACTTAGTAAAGAATATAATCACTTGAGAAAATGTAAATTTCATAAACTAGAAAGAGAAGCCTGAATAAAAAAACATCTCGAAAAAGAATTTGCTTTCATTATTCTCCAGTACACAAAAACAATTTGCTTTCATTATTCTCCAGTACACAAACTCAGTTGTTAACAGAAACTTCTGAGCTGAGCAGAGCTGTTCTAAACAAGCAGTCAGGTGAACACAATCTAAGGAACTCAACTGTTAACTGTAACATTTCTTTATGAACACAATCTTACACCTTTTATTTTGCTCAGAGTGGTCTGAGAATAAAGGCAAAAATTACAGAATATGAAGCACAATGCATTTACACATTGAAATTTACAAAGCTTATTTTTCTCATTGAAGTATTATTACCTATTTTAACTTGGATATGAAATGCTTTTAGAAAAACTAATACAGTTTTCAAATGAGAATGTAATTAACATTACCCAACATTTCAAACACAAAAAAAACTTAGAATGGGACAGACAGTAACAGCTGCCAACCAACATCAAGTTTCCAGAACCTGCCCTTTGCCCACCTCAACACTTGATAGTGTATTACATTATTAACTTATACAAAGACTGATATTTACTTTATTGTTGAAGCACTTCTAATCCATTTAAGATTTACATGAAAGTTCAAAAGGACTCATATTCAAAAACTTCTAAAGAGGTCAACAGACCTTATAAAGTAGTAAAATTTGCAAAAACGTTTGCACTTGAATATATATATTTAATCCCAGGCCCCACCCACTTACATCTACTTACAATAAATATTGCTTGGCATATAGCAAAGGTACAATTATCCAAGAAAACATCTCCCCCCACTCCTCATTGGGAAGGCTTTTGTAAAATTTTGCTTGGATGAAGGCACACAACAATATTACAACTCAATTCTGATTAATGTACAAACAAAACATGGGATTTGGGATATGGTACATCACTGATTGCAAAAAACATCAACAGATTGACACTAGGAAATTGTAGTCCATGTCTGAAAGACATGGAACTCAAATCATGATATATTTAGGTGTATACACTTGACTGGAGTATATATCCAAAGTATGTAAAAATTAACAATGAAATTTTCAAAAGGAACATAACCTGCTTTACTGAATTAATTTTATAAAGACCCATGAGAAAACGGCTACTTATTAACTACATATGAACTGGTTTAGAGGACCCTTGATGGGCACACTGAATAAATTAAAATGTATCCAAGTTTCACTGTCATTATCTTTGGTAACTGTCAGATAGTTGATAAACTGCAAAGTCTAAAGTAAATAATTATAAAATACAACATGTAGAACCTGTACCTTATCAAATGACAGAGAATTAGACATTTCAAATAAAAACCTAGTCAGAATTTATCATAAGGGATTTTTACTAGGAATAAAAAACTTCACTTAAAATTTAGTTTAGTTTTATATGGTACAATGTTCAATTTTTATATTCAAACATCACCAACTTTAGAAATTTTAAAACTAGTAGGTAAATGTTTTGAGAATTAAAAATTTTAATAGGACATAATAAAAAGGTCTTAATAAATATTCAAGGGCATATTCAAAATGTAAGACAAAGTATTAAATCATCTTTCTCATTTCAAAAAGCCCTGAAACAGCAAGAGTGGTTAACTCCTATGTTTCATAAAAATTAGACAGACATCTTTTTTTCTCGTGTGTGTGTGTGTGTGTGTGCACGTGTGTGTGTAAGAGAAAGAGAGAGGTGATTAAAGAAACTGCTGTCACAAATTATATACACGATAAAGCCAATTACAATTTAAATATTAACAATTTTCAGGACTGGATTACCAGTAACTTTTTTTGAAATATTTACATATAGAGGATTTGTTTTAAGCCTTATCTAACTCATTTATGCCATCAATATATGGAACAAAGGTGTTAATAGAATAACCTGTCACATGCAAGATTCACAGTGCTCTTTCCCCATTCTTCATGAAACACTGTTCACAGATATAAAATAAAATTACATGTAAAAATGAAGCATAAACAGACAACTCATTCTACTTTATGGAAAAGTACACAAAATTTTAAAATACAGAAAAAAGACAATGATTATGGCTTATGAATGAAACAAGGAAAATTATTTCCAGTTATTTCTAACTTGGGATGAATGGCTTAGCACAATTTAACGCTTTTAGATTATGTACCCTGAACCCACTTTATACCTTCTGTGCAATTAAAAAGATAATGCTCCTTAAAAAAGAAAAAAATCAAATGCCAGAAATTTTTTTCTAAAAAGTAATTTTTTTAATGGGAAACATCTTTTTGTATTATAAACTATAAACTTAGATGTTCTTAAAAAGTTTCAGGGACAAATGAAGTTAGTTCAAGGGAGAATAGAAACTTTATTTTTAAAAATCCAAGCACATAATATTCATATCGGAAACAATTCCCTGTTGTTTTATAAATATTTTAAATCATATGCAAACAATAAATGTGATTACAAGAATTCAAATTTTTAAATTTTAGAAGTACACAATGAGTCCTCTTGATTTTTTTTTTTTGCTTTAAGACCATAAACAATCTGAAATCTAAGTCACAGAACACTTGCAGAATTCAAGGAAAAAAGGTCAAGAATTTTTACCTGTGATGGCTTACCTGCTTTCAGATGTTTTCAGAAGATTAAATCAGAACAAGTACTTGGACCACTTAAAATGTAGGTATAGTTACTGTATAAACAACAGCCTTGGAGTTATAATTACTGTTAATAGCGCGCACACACACACACACACACACACACACACACACACACACACACACACTAAATATAAGAATAAAAAGTAATGCCCACCTTCTAACGATGACGGTATTCTCGCTCTCGGTCACGCTCCCGGTCACGGTCCCTATCCCGATCCCTGTGTCTCTCCCTCTCTCTGCTTCTCTCTCTGTAATAATCATCATGACGATCTCTACTCCGAGATTTATGACGCCGACTCTTTTCCCGTGATCTACTATGGTCCCTTTCTCTTGATCGTTCACGTCTTCTAAAAGAAATTACTGGATTAATGCTCTCCATAGCTGGGAAGCTTCAAGACATTCAATATAGTTGTCATTTTTTTTAATCACTGGTTTCATTTTCCATGGTTTCAGTTACAGTTAACCAGTATGAAAATATTAAATGTAAAATTTCAGAAATAAAATATTTTTATACCATTCTGATTAACTGTAGGAGTGGAGGAAGCCAGAGTAAATGAAGTTCTAAATGAATGTACACTGGCTATGTGGGAGCTCCAAAGCTCCTAATACTCCCATGTAACACTGGCAAAAAAGGTTTCCATAAAGGCAGGCTCAAGATGGGGTAGCAAGCTCCCATCAGGAGTCTGAGTATGAGTGTTTATGAAATGTGTGCAAAGACTAACAAAGGCAATTTCTCTGGGATGTCTACAGAAATCTACCTAGATAGCTAGTCCCTCTGAATAACTGCAGCTAATATATGCACAGAAGCTCCAAGTTGCAGCTGTAGCAGAACCTTCCTGATCCTGACACTACTGAAAGTGTATCTGTCCCTTCGGGTGCAGTACCTAGTAAGGGTTCCAAGACCCAAGACACTGTGGCAACCATCATGATGAAATCTTTTTTACCATCTTATTTCTTCCTGCCGGCACTGTGAACCATCCCTCTGTCCAGTGTATCCACACTCTATGCTGCGTCTCAAGGACCACAGTAGCACAGTGCTTATACTTGGATAATCCTTAGATTATTTAATAATAGTCCCAAACTGTGAGAGTAGTGATGCTTGACAGGTAATCTGGACATTGTTCATTTAAGGGAAAAGGTGAAAATGAAAGTCATGCTAAAGTTGCTAAGGTCTACATTGAAACTACGAAATAATGAAGAAAAAAGAAATCTATGCTAATTTTGCCATCACATCTAAAAACCCAATCATAGCTGAAGCTCATGATAATTCCATTAGGTTAAGTAAGAATTCTTTTATATGATTTCTTTACCAGCCAAGTGGTTAAGTGTTAAGCTGTTTGATCAAACTAGATGTCCTCACAAAACAAACAGGCACGATATGGTCTCCAGTTAATGACAAATTTGTTCAAATATGCACATACTTAAATGGAGCCCAAAAGGTAATAACAAAGGAAAGACTTTGTCCTTCTCTTAATTTAAGATACTACCTCCAGAAAAAGCATACTAAGGACAAAGTACCACACAGACAACTGAGAGCTAGCTCAGGAGTTAAAAACACTGGCTGTTCTTCCAGAGGACCCAGGTTCAATTTTCAGCACCCATATAGTGTGCTGAAACCATCACAACCATCTCTAACTTTAGTTCTGGAGAATCCAGGGCCCCCTTTTCACCTCTGTGGGCACCCAGCATGCATGGTACACAGCAATACATGCAGGAAAAAACACACAAATAAAATCAGTATATTAAAAATGTAGCAGAGTGTGAAATCACAATAATCAGAATGTAAAGGCAGGCCGATTTCTGTAAGTTCAAGGCTAGCCTGGTCTACAAAGAGGAACTGTCTCAAAAGAGGCAACATCATGTGAAGACTAACATTTACCTCCCAAAATACATAAAATTTCGATATTAGTAAAAGTGCTTTAAAAGTAACCTTTTAAAAACTTTATCTATGGGCTGAAGAAATGGCTCAGTGGTTAAGAGCACTGACTGCTCTTCCAGAGGACCCGGGTTCAATTCCCAGCACCCACATGGCAGATCACAACTGTCTGAAAATCCAGTTCCAGGGGATTAAAAAATTTAAAAAAAAAAAAGAAATTTATCTATTACAAGGGCTGAAAAGATAGCCGAGTAGTTGTTCTTGCAGAGGACCAGGGTTTGATTCCCAGTACCTACATAATGGCTCACAACCATCACAGCCATCCTAACTCAGGCACTAGCACACATTTGGAGTACATGCATCCAGCAAAACATTTATACACATAAAATAAATCCAAAATAAAACTGTATCTGTTACAAAATAGATTACCACACATTCATCTATTTATTAATCCCCTCTTTCAAAAACATCCTTTATCAAGCAATATTTAATAGCTAAGGCCCCTGTCAACATTCAACATGTGTTCAGTAAGAAATAAGCATCAATAAAAAAAGACTAGGTGGCTACAGTAAATACTACAAAAGAAATAAAATATGGCACACTAGATTAATGAAGACAAATGTATAGGGGAAAGAAAAACAAAAGAACAAATAAAATGGTTCCAAGGAGGAATAGCAATCAGTGAGATGGTCAATGCTTGCTGTGTCCACAGAAAGGGAAACCCATTTGGCTAGAACAGTGAGTATGCAAGCTGTCAAAGTAGAGATTACATCTGCTTGTGTGCAGTTAATCTAAGAGTAAACAGAAGCCATACAATTTCTTGCATATAATTTTATTCTAAGTAAGTGGATGCTTTGAAGGATTTCAGGAAGCACCAAGATGCCATTTAGAGTTAATCAAAAAAAAAAAATCCATTCAGATTGCTGGGTACACATTAAGTAAAATCAGAGTCCCTTTTTTTAGATTTGTTTGTTATGTATACAGTATTCTGCCTGCATGCATCCCTATGAGCCAAAAGAGGGCACCAGATGTCATTACAGATGGTTGTGAGCCATCATGTGTGTGCTGGGAATTGAACTCAGGACTTCTGGAAGGGCAATCAGTGCTCTTAACCACTGAGCCATCTCCCCAGCCCCAAGTCTCATTTTTTTTAAAGTTCAACTTTGTCGTTGTTGTTGTTAACTATTTTAAAAATACATGAGACAGGAAAGTTTTACCTTGATCCAGAGCCATAGGACTTGGACTCAATTCCATGAAGGCAATCTTGCAAAGAACTAATAAGAACTTTGCAACGATCATCTGCAGATACTTTGGACTGTTTAATTAAAGAAATTGCTGTTACCAATGTTTCAATAGCACTCCCATAATCACCTGCAGGGAAAAGAAAGAGTTAATAGCAAACAAACTGTTTCCAAATTATCATCATACCAACTATTTTGGAATAAGAATGATAAAGCAATTTTTTGGAAGTGTCTTATAAGATGATCATAAATAATGACTTTTGTTCGGTGCCTTGAAATTTGCAAGATTCTTGTGTTCATGATGCTAGTGACTGTTGTTTCATGCAGGACAGTTATTTTGCAAATATGAGAATAAATGAGCTATTTTTAGAACTCTGAACTACTATACCAAAGTTAATATTTAATCTTTATATATATATATATACAAGTGTTTTGCCTACATATGTCTTTGCATAACAAGCAAGACTGGTGCCCAGAGAGGCCAAAAGAGGATATCAGATCCCTTGGAACTGTAGTTCTTTTTTAAACAAACTTAATTCACTTTATTTTTCTTGTATATAAATCCTTATGTGGTGGCCACAGCTGGAGTCTGGGTCCTCTGAGCAGAGACTCTGGTGTGGGTTTTCACAAGAAGGTCCATGAATTCCTGATAAGACCTGGAGAACACAGACTCCAAGGTCAAGTCTCAACACAGGTCAAGGGTCAAGTAGCTATACGTTAGAGATGCCATCAAAGGTGGCCTTGGCAAAATTGCCCATGGTGGCAGTGCAGCCCCTGGCTCATGTGCAGCAGTCATCAATAATGGCCATCATTGGTAGCTTCTTGGGCACAGGGGTAGAGACCATCCCAGTGCTTCTGGGGACAGGGATGAGATGTACCAACACAGAGCCACAGTGGCCTGTCACCTTGCATGGAACTGTGTAGGGCTTGCCAAACTTGTTCCCCCAGCTACCTCTCCCCACAGGGACGATGGAAAGCTTGGCCAAGATGATGACCCCTTGGATGGCAGTGGCTACCTCCTTGGAGCACTTAACACCAAGACCAACATCACCATTTTCATTCCCAATAGCCCCCACTTCAACCACAGCCACAGCCTTGACCATGCCCCCTGTAACTAATTGCACCAGCATTAACCGTTTGGTGTTTTCCCAGAGAGGCTATAGATGGTTCTAATCCACCACATAGGTGTTGGGAAGCAATCCTGGATCTTCTGGAGGACTGGCAGTACTGTTAACTCCTAAGCTCTCTTTTCAAATCCCAAAGTTAGTAAGTTATTTTTAATTTTATTTTATGTGTATGAATGTTTTGCTTGCAAGTACATCTGTGAGCCATGAGTGTTTGGTACCCAGTGAGGACAGAAGAGGATACTGGATCCTACCACTAGCAGCTAGTGCTCTTAATCAGAGCCATCTCTCCAACCCCCAATTAGTATTTAAATCTAAATATAGCAACTTAAAATTGGGGGTCTTTCCACTACACTGACATGCATCTTCCTTCAACGCTTTAAAATTAAATGATAGTGATTGGGAGCATATGGATTACGTAAGGAGTAAGAGACCTATCCTTATAAACTTACTTTTAGCTTTGGGTTTTCGATTTTTTAATATTTAAATTTTATTTTATGTATATGGGTGTTTTGAATGCATGTGTGTCTGTCTATTTACTACACGCATGCCTGGAAGAAGCCAGGAAAGGGCCTTAGATCCTCAGGAACTGGAGTTAACAGATCGTTGTGCATTAAACCAGGGTCTTCTACAAGAGTAGCTAGTTCTTAACAACTGAGCCATCTCTCCAGCTCCTGGGTTTGGGGTTATTCTTAATATAACTAGCCATGTTAAAGAATGAACACTAAAACAAATATACAAACCAGCACTGGCATCAGACACAGCTCTTGAAATAGCACTGCTTGAGATGGCCCGATTTCTATTCATGATTTCTTCAAACTCAGCTTCACTCAATGGAGTTCTTGCAGCGTCCATTTCCCTACAAAAGACAAATAAATGTTAAATTGTTGCGTGACGAAAGTTCTCAAGTTAGTAACAATGTAAACAGCTCTACACTAACAGGTTTTGGCATTTGCCTAGGAGACAGTTGTTACTTTTCCTGATTCAAGAATGCTATTTTCCCTACCAGATCAAACCTAAGCAAAATTCCCTTTATCATTGTCTTTTGGCTGAAATAAAACTGGCAGCATAGAAATCATCTTCCTGCAGGACAGAAATTGTTTACATGTCTACAGTGTAATTGACTTCCAATCACAGTTCTTTATCTTTTCCTGGCTATGCATTTAACTCACCTCCCAGGAGGACCATAGTCACCCCTATCGTACGGTGGAGGTCGGCCATAGGGGTCTGTGGGCGGTGGCCCACGACTATCTGACGTTGGCATGCCACTATTAGTTGGTGGAGGGAAAAAAGCAGGATTCACATGTGGAGCTGGTGGTGGGGCACCTGGAGGTGGTCCCGGAAGGTGTGGAGGAGGAGCAAGTGTGAGGGGAGGCCCAAGTGGACCTGGTGGTCGAGGTGGAAAGGGGCCTGGAGGTGGAGGCGGTCCCTGCTGTGGAGGCGGTGGGCCAGGAGGAGGGCCGTAGCCTGGAACTGGAGGCGGCGGCCCAGGAGGAAGTGGACCCAACGGAGGTTGCCCAAAAGGTTGTCCAGGAAAAAGAACTGGTGGTGGAGGGCGGTCTCCTCGATTGGGAGGTCCTGCCAGAGGAGGTGGCAGGACCTGACCAGGAGGTGGAGGACCTGGTGGACCAGGTGGGCCTGGAGGACCCAATGGTGGACGTGGTGGAGTCTGTCCGGCTACAAAATAAAGAAAAAGGGAGAAAAACAGTTCAATAAAGATACTAACTATTATATGCCAAGATATTACTTCTAAAGCAGAATTCATAAACCATAACTCTCTCTTTAAATGAAATCCATATGGTAATGATCTAACAACTACAAAGGTGAAGAATATCCTCACAAATTTAACTATTTCAAATTATAATTAAGAAAAACCACTAAAACAAAAACTTGAACAAATTTTAACACCTAAAGATACTTTCCATCTCTCAGCATACACACTTCTTACAGTGACATCACCCACCTTATATTCTACTCTGATGCCAAGCTAGAAAGTGAAACAAGGAAAAATGGTCTTGAAAGGATTTTTTAAGAGGTAAGAAAATAAGACGGATGTAAATATTCTATATATAAGTCAAGCAAGTTTGGAGAAAAATAAAGACCTTTTAGGCCAAAAATGGGTATTTCCTCTATGCTGTGCCCCATATGCCATGGAATCCTAGTTTCCAGGAACAAAGGTCGAGTTCCTTTAACAAGATGCTTGATCAAATTTCCTGGGTTCCAAAAATAGCATAACAAGGAAAGTAAGTCACATTAATAATACATTACTTGAAAAAGAGAGAAAAGGAAAAGAGGTATTAAGCAGACATGATTTCTCCATGATAAACTTAAGGAAAGTTTTACCTGGGAAAGGTGGAGGTGGCCCTCCTGGTCCTGCTGGCCCAGGAAATCTGTCCCCACCGGGAACAGCCCCTGGAAAACGGCCCCGTCCTCTACCACCTTGTGGAAATGCTGCACGTGAACTGCCTCCTGGAGGACCAGCTTTACCTTCCCCAGACATTTGTCCTGATTGTGTAGCTGCAAACACCCAAATACTCATAAATAGCACTTATTAAAACAGTTCTCTGAATTGTAACCGTGTTATTAGAAACTACTTCAAAGTTCATTTATACTATTTTTCAATTTGCAGATGCCTATGCAAAGTACTTGGCTAGGAAAACCGTCACATTTACTTACATAATACTTTCTTAAAAGTCTCGAAATATTTAAGTTTAATGCACTTCCACTGAATAGATAAACATGTAGCTTTTAAAATACAGGTTGCTTTTAAAGTATTCTACAGCAGCCAAGACTTCAGAAATTCAGCAAAAAACTTAATTTCAATAGCAGATTATTTATCTTATGCAATGTAACATATTCTTAAGTCTTAAATGCTAAAAAAATTAAAACAAAACAACCATCTGAATTTCTATTAATTATATGGGTCATTCATCTTATCTATTTATTTATTTATTTTTGGCTTTGAGCCTGTCCTGGGCTGGCCTGGAACTCATCTTATTAAAAAAAAAAAAAAAAAAAAAACAAACAAAAAAAAACCAAAACCAAAAACAAAAAACCTAGTAACAAATCTCTTCTACATTATTTTAACAAGTAACAAAAGGTTTTGGTGCCAAGCAGGAAAAAAACAGGTCAGTAACTATTCCCTAGTTATCATTAGCCTCTCTATTCCCATCAAACACATCTATATGGCATTCCTCCTCTCTAATGTGAATGATAGGACAAGAATGGCGGCACTATAAAGCTCACACTCTGCTGCGACATGCTGTTGGATCTGTGACATCTAGAAAAACATGGAATGGGAGTCGGTTTCCAGTATATTAGCCTATACTCATAATCAATGATTAAATCATTAGATAAATGATTACGAAATAGTAAGCATAATATTTTAAAAAATACCAGCAACAATGCTTAAAATACATTTAAAAAAAAGGCTGCTGAGAGATTTGCTTACTTTTCCTGGACTGCATCTCAAATTGACTCAGGAACTGCTTATTGCACGGAGTCACGACAGGATTCTGACCATGAAGTTCTCTTTTAGGCAACAGATCCATTAACTTTTTGGAAGATGCTTCAGATCCAACACCAACAAGGGCAAATCTAAAAGATGTTAAAGGGGGTGGGAATAAAAGGGAGGAACTGAGATTGTTACTGTTGATTAAAAAAAGAAATAGTCTCAATTTACTCAAGAGCCAAAATTACTTAAGAGTCAAAAACAGACTCTTAAGGTTACACACATTTACACTATCTTTTATAATATACTACTAAATTCACTCATTTAATTTTTTTAGTATATTCATATGTTTTACAAAAATCTCACGGTTTGTTCATTTCATAACACTATCCATTATCAAAAGAAAGTCCACAACCTCTACCACCATTCCTATTTATTCTCCTCCCTTAAACACAGGAAACCATAACCATTTTGTCTTCTATGGATCTGCCTCACCTAGAATTTCAAACAAATGAAATATGTAGTCCTTTACAACCAGCTTCACTTAGTGTTCAAAGCCTGGTCATGACATAACATGTATCACTAATTCATTTCTTTCAGTGGCCTAGTCATGTTCTACTGCACACAGTCATTTTCTGGTTTTGCTTTAAATCCACCCATCAGTCAACAGGCTGTTTTCACTTTTTACTGCTACAAAAAGATGTTCCATATAAGGGCTGGAGAGATGGCTCAGTGGTTAACAGCACTGATTCTTCTTCCAGGACTCAGGTTCAATCCCCAGCTCCCACAGGTTCAATTCCTAGCACCCAATTCACAACCATTCATAACTTCAGTTCCAGGGGACCCAATTCCCTCTTCTGGTCTCCCTGGGCATTAGGCACACATAGAGTGCACAGACATACATGCACCCAGAACACTTATACACATAAAATAATTAATAATTTTTGAAAGATGCTTAGTACTATTAGCCAAGAAGGTACAAATCAAAACCATAATGAGATGTAATTCCCGCCATAATCAAAATGACAACTATTCAGTGCTGATGAAAATAATAAGAAACTATAACCCTTCTGCACTAATGTTGACTATGCAATCTGGTAGCTTCTCAAAATGTTAAACATTACAATATACCATACTAATTCCACTCCTAGGTATATGCCCGAAACAAGCAAAATTGTATGTTCACACAAAACAATAAACTAATATTCTTAGAGACATTCCCCTTAATAACTAAAAGTATAAATCACCCAAACATGGATTGTGGATTCTTCCTTTCGTGCTACCCCATTATATGGAACTATTACTGAGGCATAAAAAGAAATCCTGATGCAAATACACAGACAAATCTTGAAGACATTATACTAGAGAAAAGTCAACACACAGAACATCATTATTATTTTATTTCCATGAAATGTCCAGAAGAGGCAAATTCTGAGGTAGAAAGTACATGAATGATTGTCAGCAAAGGAGACACAGGCAATCAGGGTAATGCTAATGCACCCAGGTTTCTCTGGTGATGGAGATGATGAAATGTTCTAAAACTAAAGAACTACAATGGTTGCTTAACTTCGTAAATATATTTTTTGATGCACTGTATTGTGCTCATATACATAAATTAATGTAAAAATACCAACAATGTGCCTACTAAATTATTTATAATAGACACAAGTGGAAACAACCACAATATCCAAAAGTAAGAAAAGTAATATATATTTATCACTATTTCTTCTGCTCGTAGCAATAAAACATGACAAAGTGTGAATTATGATACTATTTTTAGGGGAAAATGTGGAAGCACATTTATAAAGTGATTATCTGAAAATGGTGAAATTGTAGCAATTTAATTTCTTACTTTTAAATACCTGTATTACATAATAATCCTATCCTATCTATGTAATTTCCAGATTAGAGAAATAAAATGTAACATAAGTTACATTTTATTCTTCAGTTACCCATCATTCTTCATCAGTTTTATTTTTATGGTGCTGGAATCAAGCCAGAGCTTTTCCACATTGTGTAAGCAACTCTATCACTGAGCTACACACTCAGCTCTTCCTTATCTCTTAATCACAACAAAAATAATGCTTTTCAGCACTGCCATTTCAACCTTAGAAGGAAAGTGCTCATTAAACTTAAGAAACAGGCCTAGTCTGCCTACAGTCCCAACTCAACCAGCTTCAGTGCATTTTTAAAAAACAAAACATAAAATTTAAGTATGAACCTCTGCCTAAGATCATCCTTCTAGTGTATATGTTCATGTGGGTGCCTAGGAACTAACTCAGTGTCAGGTTTGTGCAGCAAGTATATTTAGTAGCTAAGCCATTTGTCAGTGCTTATGTGTTCATGCGTTGTACATGTGTATAATCAGCAATAAACTTAACAAAAACTTAATTTGTAAACTATAATCACTATCAGTTTATATTAGGGAAAAAACTAAATTCTTACCCCTTTGATTGTCCATTTGCCCGATTCTCAAAAAATTTTATCTCCAAAATATCATTTACTCCCAAAGAATGAACTGCTTCAGTTAAGTCCTCATCTGTTGTCCACTGTAAGACATTTCCCCCTTATTAGCCATTAAAATATTCAGGTTTTTATAGTATGAATTTAACTTTTAAAGAAAAAGAAACGATAAGACAAAATTATTGTTTACTGTAAATCTAAGTATAGTTACTGCCTGTCACCCTTCAACTTTTAAACAGCAGAAAAACGCCTTGCAAGTCTAACTCCATTTCCTGATAGGAATTCTCTAAGTTATAAAGTACATTCCCTTGGAGCCAGACACAGTTTTACTTCAAGAGTTTCTGGTTTCTAGCCAGGTGTGGTGGCGCAAGCCTAACCCCAGTACCCAAGAGGCAAAGGCAGGCGGATCTGAGTTTGAGGCCAGCCTGGTCTACAGAATGAGTTTCCAGACAGATTCATGGAGAAATCCTGTATGGGGGAAAAAAATAAAACAAACAAAAAAGCAAAGTTTCTGGTTTCTACCAGCTTTAAACTCCTATGATTTTAAATTCTCAATAAAACCAATCTCACTTGTAACTTCCTCCCTTTAAAGAAAAGTACCTTGTGAAACAAACAGGTTATTTTGACTATACCGTGGAGAAACTAGTATGAATATCTACTATGTACCTTTTATCAAATACTGAAAGCTTACCTAAGTCCAACCTCATTTTCATAAGATGCAATAGAGGGACAAACAGCTTGTTCAAAGTCACATAACACAGATACATGTCAATTCTTATTTAGCAACTGCAGTCTCATTGTTTCCAAGGTTGTAAGGATTGTTCAGACTGAATGACAAGAGACTCGGTTATTTTGTTTAAATAGAGAAAAGGAGTCAAAGCTTGAGAGATGCCTCATGGACCCTAGGTTCAACTCCCAACTCCCACATGATGGTTCACAACCATTAAAAACTCCAGTCCCAGGGAATATGATGCTCTCTTCTGGCCTCTGAGGGACTGCATGTCTGTGGTACACAAATACCTATACACATAAAATAAAATGAAAATAACACAAAAGCAATGTGAAGTAAAATATTTTTGAATAAAATGCTATAAATAGAACAAAAGGGTACCAAAATTTTGCTATAGCTTTTAAATTTTCAATATAAGAGCTGAGAAAAAAATTTTCATAGGACCACTTTAGTGATTATTTCAGATTTGATGTTAATAACATTAAGAGGGCTGGAGAGATGGCTCTGAGGAAGAGCACTTCTTACAAAAGTCCTAAGTGCAGGTCCCAGCAAACATATGGTGGTCACAACCCTCTATGAGATTTAGTACCCTCTTCTGGCATATAGGCATACATGCCAGAATACTGTATACATGATATTTTTTTAAATTAGTAGATATACTAGATATACAGTTCATGAAGCATTCAACCAAATAGTCTTAGTCTTATGAACAACACAATAAAAATATAAAGTATATCTAGGCACTAGGCACCTTAGCACTCAAGGGTAGAAGCAGAAGAGTTGACAGGAGTTCAAAGTCAGTCTGTACTACAATGAATATCAGGCTAGCCAAAGTTACATAACAAGATTCATCTCAAAAAACACCAGGCAAACACAAATATTACAAAATACATAACAGCTTCTACAGGTTAATTTCAAATTTAAGAACAAAAATGAAACTTAAATCTGTAATATGAATTAGAAAATGACTTTTTGAAAACTGTAGTGGCATTTTTTTATCCTATAATTTAGAATTCTTTTTTTGTTTGTTTTGTTTTGGAGAAAGGGTTTCTCTGTAGCTTTGGAATCTGTCCTGGAACTAGCTCTGTAGACCAGGCTGGTCTTAAACTCAGAGATCCGCCTGTTTCTGCCTCCCGAATGCTGGGATTATAGGCGCATGCCATCACCCACCCTAATTTCGAATTCTTAATTTGAGACCCCTTTCAAACATTTTTCTTACTGAAACTTGTAGGAATGCAAAAGAGTAAAGAAAAATGCAAACAAGGGCTGGAGAGATGACTCAGTGGTGCAGAATACTGACTGCTCTTCCAGAGGACCCAGAACAGCTAACAACTGTCTGTAACTCCAAGATCTGACACCCTCACACATACATAAATGCGGGTAAAATACCAATGCATTAATAATATAATAAATAATAAATAAAAAATAATAAATGAAATAAAAGTTAAAAAAAGGAAAATGCAAACTCCATTTGAGTATATACCTAAACCAAACTATAAAATTCAAAATTAGAGCAATGAGAATGTCTTTTTAAAAGAATTTGGTTTTGTCCTTCTCATCACATAGACACAAGAGAAAAACAAACACAGTAACATTTCTTTTTAAACTGGGGAAAAAAAAAACATGGACTGCTAGAGCAGTTCAAAATGACTGCCAATAATCTGTTAACTTTACTTACCCATGTTAGATTTCCAATATATAATGCAATTCTCTTTCCAGTGTACGTATAGACAACGTTTGGTGCTGCTCCTTTCCCCACATCATCACCAACAGTCGGTGGAAGAGTATCCATGTAGTCCCGGTCTTCTGGGGCATCGCCATTATTTGCAGACGGAGAAATGACATCATCGTACAAATCTATCTGATCATGTCCACCATATTCCGCCTCCTAAAACACAGATACAATGTTCTAGATTATGACATCATAATACTAAGTAAATTTTAATACAAATTAATTCAATTTTCTTATTTTAAAAATCTGGTAAAAGACAGGAAAAGACCCAAAGATCTGGTATTAAATCTCTTCTCACTTTATTTAATATATATGTTCTTTAATGATGACTCTTACTCGAAAAATATTCTTAGAAGTAACAACACATTAATACAAACGGATGTTTCAAAAGATTATATGTCATAAGACTGTCACAAACAAAAACCAGAGGTACTACAAGTCTTCAATATGTGACCACAGGTGAAAACCCTAGTATTTTCTTTGGTAGTTAGATATTATTTACTCTAGGAAAGCAACTGTTTTATAAGCTAAGCCATAAAAATGGGGGGGGGAGAATGGGCACATACATGTTTGTGTCTTATTTAGTGAAACAAAAACATATAAGCAAAACTATTCAAACTAATATCTTGCAATAACTGTATTATTATTCTCAGTGGAAACAGAGCTTAACTTTTTTTTTTTTAAGCTTAACTGACTTAAAATCTAGTCAAGATCATCAGCAAGTAAAAAGCAATCCACACAGGATTTAGTAAAACTATGACACTGTCACAGCAGAATTAAAGCAATGCTAGGATGTCACTTACATGCCTAAGTGATATGCCAGAAAGAAGAGAAATTGATGTGAGAGAAAAAAAAAGGTAATTTAATTTGTAAATATTTGTCTTTTTAAGACTACGTAAGTATATCAGTATCAAAGTCCACGATCTTACCCTTCTAAGGAAAATTTGAGATAAATTAATTTAAGATATATAAGATATAACTAGTCATAATTCAAATTCTCCCATGTATACAATTCACTAAGAACTGTCATAAATGGCATACAAGAGTTTTTAGGGACTATAACACAATAATGACCAAGAAAAAAAACATTGTTAACACAATACACTATAGTAAATAAATCAGTAAAATACTATAGGCACCAAGTGTGGCTATTGTTCCATTATTCACTAAAAAGCCATAATAAGACTTGTATTTTCTTTTAGATAGCCTGCATTAATAATGAATTATCTACGCTTTTCAAAATTTATCAAGATGCCAGGCAGTGTTGGCAGACACCTTTAATCCCAGCAGTACTCAGGAGTACTCAGGAGGATCTCTGTAAATTCGAGGTCAGCCTGCTCTGTAAGAGTTAGTTTCAGAACATTTACACAGAGAAACCCTGTGAAAGAGAGAAAGAGAGAGGAGGGAAGGGAGGCCAGGAGGGAGGGAGAGAGAGGGGAAAGAGGGAAGAAAGGGGGGGAAGGAGGGAATGAAGGGAGGGAGGGAGGGAGAGAGAGAGAGAGAGAAGAGGGAGAAGAGATTTAAAAAAAAAAAATCAAGATATTACATACCAACTTTACTAATTAGGAGGCAGGATTGTCTGCCGACTTACAAGACCTAGGATACCGAGGCAAATAAAAGAACAAAAAAAAGTCACCTTCAGCAGAAGGCAGAAACCAAGATCACAAGTTACTGAATAGTGCCGTTGATTTTAATGAACAATGCCAAAATAATAGCTAATAATAGTTAACAAAGCACACACAGACTGTACTGACAGTAAAAAGAAAAAAAAAATCACAAAAAGGAGGGTAAGCTGGTGGCTGAAACTTCTGATAATGTGCCTGTAACAGTGGCTTCCATTCACCTGAGACATTAAAAAGCTTCCCACAAAGGGTAGTGAGCATTTTCAACTCTCTGGCAATCCAGTTCTGTGCACCAAGTAAAATTATTATAATTATCCAAAAGGAGCTATGTTTCCATCCTCAACATAAACTAACCACAGATACAGTTGGAGGAAGAGTAAAAAAGAATGCAAAGTTACTGAACACAAAACTAAAAGTATTTACGCTTCTTCTTTCACTTGTAGGAAAAGATTAAGATATTATATAATTTTTCATTAATTTTAAATGTATGAAAATATTTACTTAAGTAGATAATCATTTGCAGGCAGTAATTGAAGCTATACTAACTGATAGTGTATTACAATCATGGTTTTCTTACGTCCATGACTTCCTATGGTGACACTAACCGTATTTTCCATATTCATATTATTCTACCAGTATTTAGGATCAGCCCAGCCATTTTGTCTGGTAGTTGGACTGTTTCCAATCCAACTTGAAATGATGCTAATTGAGACCATGGTCCTGGGGTTTGATCTCCATGTGGACTAGTTAGCTTCACTGTGCTCCAAGCCTGTATTCTTAACCCCAAAGGTATTGGACTTGGCGAAAAAAAAAAAATTAATGAATCTGAATACATATATTGCCATTGCTAACAAAACAATTCAAATAATACTCATTTTCTAAAGCTACTTTTTAAGCTATATTTTAAGTACTGTTCTGGATTTTAACTATTTATACTTCAAGTGAAAATGAGCATGTTCTGAAGTTATACAAAATGCCTACCACAGGTTATATATATATATATATATATGAACTCTGGCCAGGGAGTGGTGAAACAAGCCTTTAATCTCATCACAGGGGAGGCAGAGGCAAACAGACTGGTCTACAGAATGAGTTCCATCCAGGACAGCCAGGGCTGTTTGACAGAGAACTGTCTTGGAAAAAGAAAACAAAAAAAAAACAAACAAAAAAAAAAAAAAATGAACTCTGAAACCTAAACAAACTAAAACTTTTCTAATTTGTCAAAGAAAGCCAACATCAAGTTCTGCTTTGAGAAGTCTTTTTCAAATACATTTCAATGGCACTCAAAAATGTAAAATTTAACATATTCTAATCATTTCAGATTCCAAAAACATTTCTAGGACCTAATCATCAATAAAGTTGCATCTCTAACTTCTAGCGAAAGAACAGCTCTTAAGCAGGGAATACTGTCACATGCCTTTAATCCCAGCACTAGAAGGCAGAGAGAGGCAGGTAGCTAGCTATCTATATGCTGAGTTTAGGGCTACAATTTAATGGTTTCCAGAACATAGTGAGAGACCCCACTCAAAAAAAAAAAAAAAAAAAAAAAAAAACAACAAAAACAAAAAAAAAAAAAAAAAAAAAAACAACTCTTGGGGTTTGTGAAAAGAGTAACAAAGTAATTTTTTTTTCAAATTCTACTATTCCAAATCACTATAATCATTCTAATGGCACGCAAGGTATCAAAACCCTGTAAAGGTTATACTGCTTTGCTAGCAGTTGGAAAGCTGGAGCAGAAGACTGTCATAAATTTGAGGTCGGTCTGGGACACAGGCAAGTCCTTGCCATAAATAAATAAATAAATAAATAAATAAATAAATAAATAGCAAGAGGGGGAGGGAGGGAAGGAGGGAGGGAGGGAGGAATCCTCTCAAGATTTTACACAATAGCACTGTTTTCTTCCTACAAGATACACAAAAATATTACCTAGTCAGAGAACACACTTAAAAAGTATGATGGATAGAAAAAAGACTAACCTGGCACTCATTTTCTTAGGCAATGATTTAATCTCTTTCATTAGTACTACCTCCCTTCAAGTTTTTTCGACAATTTTCCCCTTACATTTTCAATACCACAGATAAGTTATATATAATATGTAATATATACCATTACTGGGATTATCCTATCAGCCCAATACTGTTTTGGTGTTCCTAGAATCACAGTTAATACATTTGTGCACTGTTGGATACTACCTGTAAAGGACAGTACCTATTTCAAAATACCCCTATATTTAAAAGAGTATTAACAGTCATTCCATTTAAAGAACTATAAGGGGGGGGGGAGTTATACTCTGCATTACAAAATGTGTTCAATGCCATGTAAGAGAAAAATTAGCACAAAAATCCAGTAGCAAGAGACTGGTTCCAACATATGCCCAACCCACTCAAGAATACCAAAACCTGAAGATGTTAAAGTCTCTTATATAAAGTGGTGCAGTATTTACATATAAACTATAGATCCCTATAGCGATTATTTCATTTGTATTCTAATAAAGCTTGCCTGAAGTTCCCAGAGTAAAACAGCCACACTGATCAATCTTACAGACCAGGCAATGGTGATACACACCTTTAATTCCAGTAGCCACACTAGTTTGCCATAGAAACCAAGCGTTGGTGGCACTCGCCTATAATTGCAGTACTTGGGAGGCAGAGGCAGGTAAATCTCTCTGAGTTCCAGGCCAGCCTGGTCTACAAGAGCTAGTTCCAGGACAGGCTCCAAAGCTACAGAGAAACCCTGTCTTGAAAACCCAAAAAGAAAAAGCATTATACTATATTGGTTTCGGGAATAATGGTGAGAAGTCTGTACATATGTAGTACATGTGCAATGTCACCCAGCCAATATTTAGATCCCAGTTGAATTCTTGGATGTAGAAAATGCGAATTCTTGGAGCTGGAGAGATGGGCAGGGGTTAAGAGGGCTGTTTTTCCAGAGATCCTGAGTTCAATTCCCAGCAACCAACCACATGGTGACTCACAACTATCTATAATGAGATCTGGAACCCTCTTTTGACCTGCAGGCATATGTGCAGGCAGAAAATTGTATACATGATAAATAAATAAATCTTCTAAAAAAGCGGATTCTTTTTTCCAGAAAACATTACTTTTCTGAATATGCTACGTATATTAATGTTATAATTTCTATTAAATGTTAAATTAGATCTTAACCACTGTGCCATCTCTCCAGCACTATTGATTTATCTTTCAACTATTTTCATTAAGCATACCAAAATAAGGTTCCACAGGATAACAGTTGCTTTGCCATAAATACATAATAAGTATAAATTTAAAAGGATTCAAAAAATTTGACAAGAGGACATCTAAATCCTTAATTCCAAACTGACTGTACCCCAGGCATTATTTCCATTTACTTTTAAAGTGAGCAGACTAAGTCAGTTTGCTGTCAATAACCCATAGCCTGACAGAGCAGACACTCAAAGTCTACATTAGCAGCTTTTTGACCCCTAGGTAAACAAAACACAAACAAAATTATTTGGAATGTAGAATAACTTGAGCATACCCAATTAATTTTTTTTTAAAGCCCTAAACGTTTTTGAGCACTGAGCAACTATTCTCCATTTGGTCACATCCAAAAACTTTTAAGATCTAAGCTGATCGTGTGTTTCTGTGTCTGGAAATCTTCATTCTCCATTCTTAAAATCACCTAATATAGAAAGTAAATTCATTTAGTCCCATCCCACACCAAATTAAAGTTTTTAATACTCAATGTCTCATACTATCTGCAATATTGTACTTTACCAAAATGCAAAACTGCCTATTTTAAATAGTAAACGAAAATGAAGACTAGACTAGTGACTACACAGAATTTCAGAGAATAAAAGTACAATTAAAACTGCAGCTCATAATAGAGAACAAAAGATGTGTTTCGAGGCTGAAGAGGTGGCCCTCTGGTTAGAGCACAGGATGCTCTTCCAAAGGATCCAGGTTTAATTCCTAGCACCCACGTGGCTGCTCACAACTCTCCATAAATCCAATTCCAGAGAATCTGACTCCCTCTTTTGGCCTCCTTGGGTACCAGGTGCCCACACAGTGTGTTCACAGACATATAATGCAGGCAAAACACCCATACACATTTAAAAAAGGAAAGAAGGGAGGAAAAGAGGGAAGGAGGGAGGGAGGGAGGGAGGGAAGGAAAAAAAGGTTTAAAAAAGAAAAACCTAACATTTATAGATATTTAGAAACCAAAATAACTAAAAATTGCTAATGATTAGCTCTGAAAAATATTTGCTGACTACAATCAAATAAACGTATTAGTTACTATAGTAGCTAGTAGAAATAAGGTTACCACAGATAATAAGAGAACAGATTCATAGGAACATAGCACAGGAGTAAAGTGCCTAGCATGAGGGAAGGGGAAAAGGAACAACTGAGTCTGATGGGTTGTGATCCCAGCACTGGGGAAGCTGAGGCAGCAGGTGCACCACAAATTAAAAAGTCAGTCTGGAATAAACAGTAAGTTCTGGGACAACCTGAGCTACAGGACAGAAAGAAAAACAAGCAAAAGAGAGATTAAGTCAATAAATTTTGTTGCTTCTAATTCTGGAAGGATCTAATAAAAACACTTCAATGATAGTAACATTTATAGAAAACATGACAAATCTCAAAGTAACTGGCAATCTTTTTGTGACTACTTTTTTGGCTCAGGAATTCAGAGCAAGCAAACCACATAAGCCAATTATATGCAAACAGCAACAAGTAATGCCCCTGGAGGATACACACATACCTCAGTGGTAGAGCACTTACCTAGATGTGCAAGGTCCTGGGATCAGTCCCCAGAGCTGCAAACCAAAGGTTTTGGGAAAAGCCTCTACTTTATCTCCCAATTAATCTACTTAAGCCTACAAAGACTTTACTTGTATAATTACATAACAGTGTATCAATACAATGCTCAAGTACAAGTCAATGAAAAGCTACATTTATAAAAAGCAGGCCTACAAAGTAGTTCCTCAATGGAGTCCAAAAAATCTAATCTCTTCTTGACCTCTTGCTAGTACTAGTTAATGCAGAGATAAAGAAGCCATCAAGCAGTTATCTGCATAAGTATACTGTCCCTCCCAAATAAAGTATTTTTTTTTGTAGACCAGGCTGGCCTCGAACTCACAGATCGCCTGTGCTCTACCCACTGAACCACCTCTCTAGGCCCTAAACACATCTATTATAAGCTGCAGATTTAATTGTACTTTGTATTCTCTGAAATTGTGTATAGACAGGTCTCGTTTTCCACTGACTATTTAATACAGGCATAATTTTATAAAGGTTGTTTTGCATCTTGGTAAAGCACAATTTTGGGTGCTGGGATTTAAGGCTTCACTACTAGTGAAGAAAGCTTAATCTCTAAAACTGTATCCCAATTCGTCCTTACTGTGAGCACAAAAACAAAGCAATATGTTCTCTTACTGAAAAAGCTAATGAAGACTGTCTCAAACTTTTTTCCCCCTTTAGCAGCAGTTATGACAGTATTCCAGATAGATATGCTACGTGTCTTGGTAGATCAAAGGGAAAAGATTCCGAGGTCTTAGTCTACTGACCTTAATTAAAAGCACTAGAAACTGCGTAGCATTCAAAGAAAATTTCTAAGTCATGATTGACACAACTCAAGAACAAGAAAAAAGATTTTCACACTTAACGTTTTATTGCAACTGTTAATTACATTTAAAATTACCTAGTTTCTAAGTCAGTAGTTGGAACTTAAATCCTATCAAAATTTGCTTTTCTAATATTAAAACAAAAGCTACAATGTCATTTTTTGAAAAACAAAGCATAAGGGTTTAAGAGTTTCCATTTTTTTTAAATCTTGCATACCTAGTCATAAATACGATTAGTAGAAGGTAACACCATACTAACGGCATCTTATTAAGCTTCTCATCCGAATCTGGAAATTTTTAATATAGAATTATTTTTTAAAAAACGGGAAAAAATTTAAAAACACACACAGCTTTTAGTAGCACTATTGTTGGGTGCAACGTAGGAAAAAAAACACATATAAATGAAATTCAATTAAAAAAATGGAAGAGGGGAGAGTAAAAGGCTACACGTTACTGACTTTGGTGGCCAGAGTTCTCCATAGGATATTCATCACCAGACACCACAGCTAGTTCCAGGCTACCGTAGCCGGTGAGACCGGAAAACCTTGCACGTCTCACTTTCTCCAGCCTTTCAAAAGAGCCCCACGGGGCAAACACTTCACTTTAAAAATACAGTCACATTCACAACGACTTGTAAGCAACCACACACTGAGAATTTCGGGTAGACGTTCTCCGTTTCGGTCTCTCGGATGTTAGCGAGGGACCACCATCTTTTTTTGTTCTATCCAACCACCGCGCATCCAAGTCTTTGGCGCAAGCCATTAATCTTCCCGGATTATTCTTCACAAAGGCCAAGGACTGGGCCTCAAAGGCACCGCAAGCTCTCGATGGCCAAAGCGAGTCAACGCATCTAAAATGAGCTCAGTGCAAAAGTCAGATGACTTGTTGCAGACCTAAGCCACCTAGCCCACCGCGCCGGGGAGCGGGACCCCGGGCACCACACCGAAACCTGTCGCCAACGCGAGCAAGGGAGCCCAGGAGACCCGGCGCGCGGGATACAAAAGGCTGTGAATGCGGCCTTCCATGAGGGCGACCGTGCGCGGACAAGAAGACACAAAATGGAGCGACGGGAGGAATCGGAACCCGAGCAGCAGGGCCGGGATGGAGGAGGCGGCGGACGGGCGCGCGCCCGGCCAGCAGGGCTTCGCCCCCCCCCATCAGG